TATGTTGAATAAGAATGGTGAGAGTGGGTATCCTTGTTTTTTCCTGATCTTAGAGGGATAGCTTTCAATTTTTCACCATTGAGTATGATGTTAACTGTGGGTTTGTCATATATGGCTTTTCTTACGTTGAGGTACGTCCCTTTGCTATCCACTTTTTTGAGAGTTTTTTTTTTTAACCATAAATGGGTGTTGAATCTTGTCAAATACTTTTTCTGCATCTATTGAGATGATCATATGGTTTTTTCCTTCATTCTGTTAATATGGTGTATCACATTGATTGATTTGCATATATTGAACCATCCTTGCATCCCTGGAATAAATCCCACTTGATCATGGTGTATGATCCTTTTGTTGTATTGTTGATTTCATTTTGCTAATATATTGATGAGGATTTTTTCATTTATGTTTATCAGAGTTATTGGCCTGTAATTTTCTTTCTTTATAGTGTCTTTGTCTGGTTTTGGTATCAGCATGATGTTGACCTTGAAAAATGAGTTAGGAAGTGTTCCCTTCTTTTCAATTTTTTGGAATAGTTTGAGAAGGATAGATATTAAATCTTCTTTGAATTTTTTTTTTTTTTTTTGCGGTACGCGGGCCTCTCACTGTCGTGGCCTCTCCTGTTGTGGAGCACAGGCTCCAGACGTGCAGGCTCAGCAGCCGTGGCTCACAGGCCTAGCCGCTCCGTGGCATGTGGGATCTTCCTGGACCGGGGCGCAAACCTGTGTCTCCTGCATTGGCAGGTGGACTCTCAACCACTGTGCCCCAGGGAAGCCCCTTCTTTGAATATTTGATAGAATTTAGCTGTGAAGTTGTCTGGTCCTGGACTTTTTGTTTTCTGGGAGCTTTTTGATTACTGTTTCCATCTCTGTACTAGTGATCGGTCTATTCACATTTTCTATTTCTTCATGATTCAGTCTTGGAAGTTTGTATGATTCTAAAAATTTGTCTATTTCTTTTAGGTGTCCTATTTGTTAGTGTATAGCTGTTCATAATATTCTGTTATAATCCTTTGTATTTTTGTGGTATCCATTGTTATTTCTCCTCTTTCGTTCCTGATTTGATTCATCAGGGCCTTCTCTTTCTTTTTCTTAGTGAGTCTAGCTAACGGTTTGTCAATTTTGTTTGTCTTTTCAAAGAACCAGCTCCTAGTTTCATTGATCTTTTCTATTATCTTTTTAGTTTTTATTTCATTTATTTCTGCTCTGCTCTTTATTACTTCCTTCCGTCTACAGCCATACCACCCTGAATGTGCCCAATCTTGTCTCTATTACTTCCTTCCTTCTACTAACTCTGGGCTTTATTTGTTTTTCTTTTCCTAGCTCCTTTAGGTGTAAGGTTAGATTGCTGAGATTTTTCTTGTTTCTTGAGGTAGGTCTGTATTGCTATAAATTTCCCTCTTAGTACTACTTTTGCTGTATCCTGTAGATCTTGGTATGTTGTATTTTCATTTTTATTTGTCTTCAGGTAATTTTTGATTTCTCCTTTGATTTCTTCATTGATCTAATAGTAATATTTCAGTAGTATGTTGTTCAGTCTATACATATTTGTGATTTTTCCAGTTTTATTCTTGTAGTTGATTTGTAGTTTCATTCTATTGTGGTTGGAAAAGATGCTTGATTTGTCTTCTTAAATTTATTGAGACTTGTTTTGTGTCCCAACGTATGTTCTATCCTTGAGAAAATTCCATGTGTACTTGAGAAGAATGTGTATTCTGCTGCATTTGGATGGAGTGTTCTGTACAATTCTATCAAGTCCATCTAGTCTAATGTTTTATTTAAGGCCGCTAATAGTAGGGGTGTTAAAGTCCCCTACTATTATTAGTGTTGCTGTCAATTTCTCCCTTTAGGTCTGTTAATTGCTTCATATATTTTGGTACTTATCTGTTAGGTACATACATGTTAATCACCGTTATATCTTCTTGATGAATTGTCCACTTTATGGTTAGATACTGTCCATTTTTGTCTCCTGTTGACCTTTTTGGCTTGAAATCTATTTTGTCTGATATGAGCATGGATACCTCTGCTTTCTTTTGGCTCTATTTGCATCGACTATCTTCCATTCCTTTACTTTTAGCCTGTATATCTCTTTAGAGCTAAGTGGTGTCTCCTGGAGGCAGCATATAGTTGGGTCTTGTTTTTTAACCCATCTAGCCACTCTCTGTCATTCAATTGGTGAATTCAATCCATTTACATTTAGTGTGATTATTGATAGATGAGGATTTAGTCCTGCCACTTTATCTTTTGTGTTCTGGTTGCTCTATATTTCTATTGTTTTTCCCTGTGTTTCTATTTGCCATTTTGTGTTGGTGATTCTCTATTAAACCTTTCTCAAATTCCTCTTCTTTTTGTTCTGGATCTCTGCTCTATGTTTATGTTTTGTGGTTACCCTGAGGTTTTCATTAAACCTCTCCTAGAGAAAATAGTCCTTTTCCTGCCGATAGCATCTCACCTTCTTTTACCTGTATAAATTCTGTCCTTTTCCTCTTCCCTTTTTATGTTTTTGTTGTCTCAAATTATCCTTTTTCATGTTGTGAGTTTGTTACCAAACTGAGTTAGCGATAGTTATTTTTCTGCTTTCTTTACAACCTATTCTGATAAACAGTTGCAGTTCTCTGGTTCTGTCTATTTATCACCTTGCTCAAAGTTTTGTGTATTTTTGCTGTTTTGTTTCTAGTAAAAGAGCTCCTTTTAACATCTCTTATAAGGCAGGTTCATCTAGTGTTGATGAACTTCCTCATCGTTTGTTTGTCTGGGAAAGTATTTCTCCTTTATATCTGAATGACAACTTTGCTGGATAGAGTATTCTTGGGTGACAATTTTTGTCTTTCAATATTTTGAGAATGTCATTCCACTCCCTATTGGCATGTAGGGTTTCTGCTGAGAGATCTGCTGATAGCGTAATGGGAGATCCTTTGTAGTTACTATCCTTTTTTCCATGGCTGTCTTTAAAATTCTGTCTTTGTCATTGACTTTCAACAGTTTTAATATTATGTCTTGGAGAAGGTCTTTTGCATTGAGGTGGTTAGGTGTTCTCTGAGCTTTATGGACTTGTATGTCCAGTTACTTCTCCAGGTTTGGGAAGTTCTCTGCTGTTCTTTCTTTAAATAATCTCTCTGCTCCCTTCTCTGTCTCTTCTTCTTTTAAGATACCCATTATCCAGTTCCTAAAAGAATCACAGAGCTCTTGTAGAATTTTCTCATTTTTAAAATATCTTATTTCTCTTTCCTTTTCTACTTGTATCATCTCTAGATTTCTACCATTGAGCTCACTAATACTCTCTTCCGTATGCTGTGCTCTATTTCCAGTGTCTTCTAATGCATTCTTCATGTTGTTTATTGAGTTCTTCAGCTCCAGAATTTCTGTTTGGTCTTTTAGAGTTTCAGTCTTCTTGGTAAAGTATTCCTTCTGCTCATTAATTTTATTTCTGAGCTCATTAAACTGCCTGTCTGAGTTTTCTTGTATCTCGTTCAGTTTCTTCATGATAGCTACTTTGAATTCTCTATCAGTTAGATTGAAATATTCTGTGACTTTTAAGTTTGGTTTCTGGAGATTTGTCATTTTCTTTTTGTCGTATAGTATTACTGTGGTTCTTCATGGTGCTTAATGAAATGTTCCTCTGCTTGTGCATTTGAAGTTAAATGACAGGTTAGACGTGAGAGTGCTTTCTTTTGTTTTTTGGTAGGTGGTGCTGTAACACAAGTTTTTGGTTTATCTTATCTGTGCTACCTCTGGTTGTTTTTGAGAATTGTCACTTTCCAGCCCCCACAGTCTTTGTAAGAGGTGTGGCTCCATGCCTTCTTTGTCACTTCTTGTGCCTCTGGGGTAGTTGCTGCTTTGCTTCTGCCGGAGCTGCTATGTCATGAGGATGGTAGGCTCTTCCCTTGTGTCTGGGATCCCCTGAGACACAGGCTCTGCTGTGGGAAGAGGAGGATAATTGGAGGGGAGCAGGGTTGTGCAGGCTCCTCCACCATGTTGAGTGTCATAAGGGTTCTGCTACTGTGGATGGGGGGCCAGGGCTGTGGGAGGGACAGGGTCCCAGGCCCCACTGCCACTGCTTCCCAGTTACCTGTGGCCACGGGTGCTCCCACAGTTGGGAGACCAAAGTCATGTGTGCTGGTTCTCCTGCTGCTACTGGGTTTTCTGAAGCTGTGGGCTCATCCGTCTCGGTCGTAGGGCTGGGATTGCAGGCACCGACTTCACTGTTCCCTTGGTTCCGCCTCCTCCATGTGTTCCAGTCCACCCACCTTTAGATATACAGATGTGTGGAATTCTCCAGTGTCCTGTTGAGTTGGGCAGAGGTATACTTTTGTTGAGTTGTGGATGTTTTGCGGGCTGTAGATTGAAGGGGAGAGACGGGTAGCCATGTTTCTGACAGCACTCCCATGAGGGATATTCTTTTGAAAGACCTGAAGACCCCACACCTCATCCATCCCCTCCCTCCCTGCCACCAGGACCCACTCTCCACTAACTCTGACTTTCTTCAGTGGTAATACTTGGAAAATAGAAATACATGGATGTGACACAGATCAAAGATGTTAAGAACGTGTTATAATGATCTCATAAACCAGACTTTGGCAGTATGAAATAGTACTTAATTGGTTGCACTGAATTAGAGCATACCATTAAAGCCCTCTTGCCTTTATGTAAAGTTAATAAAAGAACTAGGTTGTTCTTTCATTTTGATATTACTGGTATTGACATTTACTATAAGTACAATTATTTTTTTCACATTATTTAGGCGAGTTTTAAATCTTTTTAACCTCATTATCTTTTGACCTAGAAAAAATATTTTTCTATTGTAGGAAACTGAAACCAGTATGTTACGTAGTATAAACAAGGTTTTGAGCCTTGGTTGGCGCTAGGGCAAAGAACCTCTAGTTCAGAGAGTTTTATATAGGGCTAATTCAGCCTTCCTCCGATGCCTTAAAAATGTTTTTTCTTTCAGCAAAGTAATAAAATATTTAATTTTCATAAAACACTTTTTACGTTTTTCTTTTCCAGAGAGTGATGCCTTCTAGCTTTTTCTTGCTGTTGCGGTTTTTCTTGAGAATTGATGGGGTGCTTATTAGGATGAATGACACAAGACTTTACCATGAGGTATCTATTCTCATTTAATGAAAGTACTAATTGACGTTGAGCTTGTTCATGTTGTTACGTTGTCAGTCTGACAGTTTGAAATTCAGTAGTGCTTTATATTATATGGCTATTTGTCTAACCTTTAAGATTGGGTGTGTCATATTCACTGTTGACTGCACAGTTATCGAAACATTAAATCTTCTTTTCCAAAAGTTCTACGAGTTGAACATGTTTTCCAAAAGACACTCCCTGGTAAAGGGGAGTCTGATGCTTTTTAAAAACCTCTTAAACTTAATCTCTTTAAGAAAACTGTCCCTTAACTCTTACTTTTTTTGCAGTATGTGTTGTTTATGTAATGTCCTGATATTAGAAATACCAATCTCATGGCCTCCAGAAATTTGTATTATACAATTATTTTGATAGTTGTTTTAATATTTGAAAGCTCTGTGCTCCATTTCAAGGAACTGTTAACATACGAAGTTTTTAAAAAAATAAGTGAAGAAACTAGGGGGGAGGCTTAAATTGAGTCATGAAAATTCTTCTTGTAGCTTTATAGCAGCCTATCCTTTTTGAATGAATTTTTAACGTCATATTTGTGATCACATAGAATGACGAATGAAAGAAGAAACCGGCAGTATCAGTCAGGGTAATCGTAGTAATAGTTAACTCTCCTAACAACCCTATGAAATAGATGCTATTATTATCTCTGTTTTACAGCTGAGGCAACTAAGGCAAAGAGAGATTAAGTAACTTGCCCAAGTTATACAGTTAATAGGTGGCAGAACTGGAATTTAAGCCCAGTAAGATGTGATTGGATTGGTATTTTCCTAAATCCTGCACTTTCTTTTTCTTTTGAAATAACATGGTCACTGTGATGGATCTTTTTCTTTTTAAAAGTGATAGTAAAGTACTAAAAATAAGCTATACTTTACTCCCTCAGAAAAAATGAAATCTAAATTTTTAGAAATGCTTATACTTTAACTCAACAATATTGATTTTTTTTTCAGAATTTATCCTCAAAAGATTCTTACATACAGTAACCCACAAATATTAATCAGGCAGCTGTATAGAGTTGTATATATAAAATATTCATGGCAATGCTATTGTTTATAATAGCTAAAAGGAAAGAAGGAAGGCGCTATAATGCCCATTGAATGAGCATTGGTTAAATGGCCATTTATATCCTGTTGGCCTACAACAAATAGACTGCCAGATATTTCTCCAGCAGAGTTGGAATTATTCGGGATCAGCAGAAAATTGCAATTCAGGTCTGTAACCATGGTGAGCCATGTGCAAGTCCCCACACGGCAAGGGAAGGAGAATGCTTTTATAGAGAGGAAAAGGAAAATGGGAGTGCTACAGTAAACAGAGAATCCATGACTTTCCATTGGTTGAGTCCTTGCCAGGAAATAAGAGGAGTCTTTCTTTTTTCTGTTGGGCTCTGCTATGGTTGCTGGGTATGAGAGCTCCCCATGCTAGTCTCCCAAATCTATTTAATTGAGGTTTCTGTTTATTAATTTTTTACAGTCCATATAGTGGCAAAATATGCAACCATTAAAATGAATGGCAGAAAGTTCTTTAACTGATTTGGAAAGATGCGCATATTAATGTTGACTTTTAAGATGCAAGTATGAATCTATATAAGATTTTATGTAGAGATTTCTAAATGTTAAGGATAGTGTTATCTGTAGAGATTGTGATTGCTGATGATTTATACTCTATACGTTTATAGTATTTGATATTTTTTAACAATGAGCATTAATCTGTTTTGTTGATATAAAAGATTGAAACTTTAAGGGAGCATAATCTTCTGATTTTTCTTTTATTAAATAATGTTTTACCAAAAAACAAATTGTAATAAATTGCTTTCTAAAACCTCACTTTAAAAAGTCTTAAATGGGAAAATTGAAGTACCAAAAAAGTGGCTGTAAATAGAGAGAATTTATTAGAAATGGGAAAGAATAAAACTTGTTTAAACTTTTTTGGGGAGGAACATAAAAAGTAGCCACAGTTATATAGGTAGATGGTAATATAGCTTAAGGAAAAGATGTAGTTCCAAACTTGAAGTAATATTAAAATCTCTTGCATATCTCATTTACAAACATACACATTTTCTTTCAAAGTAAAACCTTTGCTTGTGTTTTTCTTACATGATAATTATTAAATCTGTTTACATATGCGTATCAGATACTAATGTGATTTACAGAGATTGGAATTAATAATTCAGAATTCTTGAATTAGTTATCTCACTGTAGAATTAGATGTTCTTATCAGACTTAATGGTACTTTCACAACCTGTTCTAAAATGTGGGCAGTTCTGTTTAATAGAAAGGATTTTGTTAATCAATATAAATAAATTTATTGCAATTTTTTTGATTTTTAAACATAGGCTGACAAGACCTACATGTTACGAGAATATACATCACGAGAGAGCAAAATTGCTAATTTAATGGTACAGTATTTAAATATCAGTTTTTAGAAGTTAAATTTTAATGTTTTATTTTAAGTATGGTATTCCCTCATGCCCCACCCATCCACCAAATCTACATCCCTAAATCCATTCATTTACCTAATAGGGCTCTATAGGAGAAATCCTATTGGAGTGTATTTTTTCTGGAACTTATCTCAATTACAGTTAGAGTTGTTAGGTACCTTAACCATCATCCAATCCAATTTCCACATTTTATTTTGGAAAAACTGAGACCCAGAGGTGTGACTCCAAGTCGCACAGCTAGTTGGTGGTGGAGCTGCAATAGGATGTTCTTTCCATGACTTACTTTTGGGGGCATAATCTCCCCTGCTTTTTTTTGCTCCCCTGGGACTTGTAAAGGGTTTCTACAAGTCTATAGCTTTTGATAATGGGTTGTTTAAAAATTGATACCTTCCTGCTAACTTGATTTTTTTATTCACTCTTAGTGTTTATTTCTGTCTATATATAGAATATACATAGGTTAGAAAAGTTATATAGGGTCTCTTGTAGACCACATATTGGCATCTAACTGAAGGCTAGTGCTTTCAAGGTACAAAAATAACAGGAAAAAGGGATTAGATTAAGATGTATTAAATTCTTAGAACATTTATGGGAGCATTATAAAATATATTCCTATGATCTTTGAGGAAACCATCTAGTAACAGAGCTGAGTCAGTAACAAGAGATACCTGATATTATTAGGAACACCTGATGATGCTCTCGCTCTCTCTCTCTCTCTCTCTCTCTCTCTCTATATATATATATGGCATCTCATTTTAAAATTGGCATGCTTTAGGAATGCTTGAACGAAAGCATTTTCAAAACTATCAGTGCAGTAATTTAATATATGCTAATATGATTTATGTATTTCCTAGCATGTTTCACCTTCCCTCTTCACGGAACCTAATGAAATATCACAGTATTTACCGATAAAGGAGGCAGTTTGTGAGAAGCTAATATTTCCAGAAAGAATTGATCCTAACCCTGCAGACTCAAAAGAATGTACACCTGTGGAATAGAATTTATTACAACATATACTGACCGTGGAATCCGACTGGAGACCTTGGGGCTATTTGGAGGGGGTATTTTTATTATGAGAATTAATTGCCTTGTCTATGTGCAGATTTTCTGTAGCCTTAAAGGAAAAATAAATAAAAGAGTGTCGCAGGCAGTTTCCACTCAACTGCTGTTGTACTCTCTGTCTTCAAATTCATATTCCAGAAATTTATATCTTCTGGAGTTAAATTCAGATTTCTAAATTGTCACAAAGTGGGGTCTCACCAGTAGGGGGTGATGTGTGTATCTCTCAGAAGCAGTGGCCATAACCTGTATCCATCATGAAACACTATCTCCTACCACGAGGAAGTTACTTTAAATCAGTGAATCGTAACACCTTGTGACTTTCATATGATTCCTAATTGTTCACGTTGATGTAGTGGCTCTTTACCTTGGGTTTTTTGATGTTTATTCACACTTCTGGAGAGTCGTGACTTGCCTCCTAGGAAATTGATCTCAAATGATCTGTACCCAGAAATTAAAAAAAAAAATTACCCTCCTAAATTTTAATTGGCTTTTGAAGTTTAAAGAAAGTTTCAGACATAGAAACAAATAAACTAGGTTTTTGGAGAACTTAAGGTGTTATGTCCATGGAAACACACAATCATGGTTTGCCACTGACAGGATGTCAGAGCTGTCTCTCCTCCATCTTTAGGTGCTTTTTCTTATGTGTGGTTCTATTTGTACTGACGTTTTTTACTTCCAGCTTCCACGCACCCTCAGAGTGAATAAATCTTTTGGATATTGAATTTGATATTGGTCCTAAAAGGTTTGAAGTGTTAATATGGATTGTTTTAAGCAAAAATTACATCAGCCTCTGAAGCAACCAGATTACTTTTCTGCTTAAAATATTTGAAGGGTAGCTGTGGAGGAGGAAGGGGCTTATTTTAAAATCTAAAAGCCAGTTTTTCCTTTTTTAAATTCATGTTTTTGGGAATTCCCTGGCAGTCCAATGGTTAGGACTCCACGCTTTCACTGCCAAGGGCCTGGGTTCAATCCCTGGTCAAGGACCTAAGATCCAGCAAGCCGTGCAGCATGGCCAAAAAAAAAAAAAGATTCATGTTTTTAACATTACAGGGGATCCAATAAAGTGTAATTAATTAGTACAAGATCTAGGTAGTACAGAAAGTTTACAAAAGTAAATTTGAAATCCATTTGGTTATTTTGATGGTGACCCTTTAAACATTTTATATTCTTTTCTGCCTTTTAAAATGGTCTCCATAAAGTAGCAAGTGGTTATAAAGCACCAAGTAAGAAATTACTTTAAATGGATTTAAAAAAATATTTTATTTAAAGGGCAGGGGAAAAGAATTACCCCCTTTTTTTCTTGTTTGAAACAGCTATTGTACATATTTCCACTTGATACATAAATCATTAAAGAAGAATATTTAATTGTAAGTATTAGCAAAACTCTTCAGGTATTAGCCTGAAGATAAATTTTAGTGAAACAAATACAGTTGGATATTCATCATTACTCAGACTCTGGTGTGTTGTTGTGTATATTGTTTTTTTAGCTAATTTTATTAGCTAAATTTGGTCACAAATGATTTGGGTATTTGTTTGCTTTCTGCTACATCACCTTCAAGGTATAGGAAATCAGGATTTTGTTGGCTTTGAGAAAATACATGGCATGTTCACTGTATGTTAAGTATACCGGTACTTAATGTTTTCCCTTAGAACAGAAAAGTGTATATATTGTACTCTGCTTTCTGTTTATTTTATTTGCCATGCAGATTTGAACAGAACAGACTCTTTAGTCATACAAATTATTAAAAAATGAAAAACTGTAATAATATTTATTAGTTGAATTAGAGGTTTCTGGGCAGCATCATATTACACATATATTTTTAACTTGATTCAGATGTCTTAGTCCCTGAGTCAGTCTTAAATTACTTATTTTGAGAATCCATTGTTAAAAATTGTAGAATTGACTGTTTTATAGAAGAAGGTGGGAGGTGGATAGGATGAGTGTACTTTTGAAAGCTTCATTAGTTTATTCCTGTGGAGAATGCCAAGAAAACTTATATTTGCCCATTGCTAAACAAGACATATACCATTTTATATTTATTTGTTCCAAGTGTCTTTTTGTAAGAGGAGAATAAACAATAAGTAATTACCCATCTGTGTTTTGCTATTTCATTTAATTTCGTTTTTCTTGAAGCTTAATTAAAAAATGGTTTGGTATACCTTTCTTGTTTGTGCTTTATGTTTTGAACTTGGTCAACATTATAAAGCCAGATTCTCCAGATAGATTATAAATGAAAATCTAACAGATAGTCCAGAATATAATCCTCCAGTTTAGCTACTGGGCTCTTGTTCTTCCTCTCCCTCTGTCCCCTAGTGTGGGTTGGCCAAAAAGTTCATTTGGGTTTTTCCGTAACATCTTATGGAAAAACCCAAATGAAATTTTTGGCCAACCCGGTACTTCTGTGGATGTTTTAATTAGCCATTGTTTTCTCTATGATAGGTTAATGCTTTCTGTTTTTGAAAATATAAATACTTGTGGTATGTATCATTCCATTTAGTTTTAAGTACTGTCCAATATGGTGCTAGGTACAGGGGTTACAGTAATGAAGAGATTATTCAGTTGGCCCTCCGTATCCTCAGTTTCTGCATCTGCGGATTCAACCAATCATGGATTGAAATATTGAAAAAAAAATTCCATGGGGCTTCCCTGGTGGTCCAGTGGTTAAGACTCCGTGCTCCCAATACAAGGGGCACAGGTTCAATCCCTGGTAGGGGAACTAAGATCCTGCATGCCCCGCAGCGTGGCAAAAAAAAAAAAAAGAAAAAAAATTCCAAAAAGCAAAACTTGAATTTGTGGTGTACCCGGCAGCTATTTACATAGCATTTACATTGTATTTACACCTATCTACATAGCCTTTACATTCTATTAGGTATTGTAAGTAATTTAGAGATGATTTAAAGTATATGGGAAGGATGTGTGTAGGTTATATGCAAATACATCATCTTATATAAGGGACTTGAGTATCCTCAGTTTTGGTGGGGGGAGGGGACTGGAGTCAATCCTCTGTGGATACTGAGGGATGACTGTATTATATGTCTTCATGGAGTTAAAGTCTAATGGAGGAGACAAAGTAAAAATAATCACAAATTTTAGTAATTGCAATGACAGAAATAATACTGACTTTAAAGAGAATAACAAAATCACCTTTGGTAGAAGTAGAGTTCTACCTGGAAAAGCATGTATAAAGCCTCAAGAGAATGTCACTCCTAACTTACCCAGGAGAAAAATCTGGGTAATCTATACAATTACAGTTTTTCTTGAGCATATCAGACAGCTGAGGTTGCAAAGCAAAGTAAACTAAATCCCAAAGAGTGATAAGCCCTCCAACAAGAGGTGGAAACTACCAATCATTTCATCTTAGAGCATGAGAGAAACAGGTGGCCACTGTACGTACAAGCAGGTAAGAAAAAGATTAACTAAAATTTTAATAAATTCTGAAAGGCTTAGTATGGGCTAGTTTGTCAGTTTGGAAGAGCTGAGAGTCTCAAATAAGAGGACTTCATACACTCATACAGGTTCTTTCCCAGGGGTCCACCCCAGTGCTCACAAGAAACACTGGGGCAGGGCAGGGGACCAGAAAGTCCCTGTCAGTGGTTCAAGCATGCAGGAGGTAATTGGCTGCTGCTGAGGGATAGGTATGAAACCCTGCCCATTTGTTCTAGACCCCTCCTTTGAAGGATGCAAAAGACTTAAGCTGCTGGGGGAAGAGCAACAAATATCACCCCCCAGGACCCCAGCAAAATCCATTATTTCTGGGGGAGGAATAAAAGCAAAACCCATCTGCTTCTGGGAGGAGGAATAGGA